GATTGGATTACGAATATACAATAAAATAATAAGAATAATAACATAATAATACAAATTGAAATAACTATACTCATGAACAATTTTACTACCATATTATTTAAAATTATATGAATATGTTAAATGTAATATTAAAATAGCAATGATAGTGATTATAATGATAACAATAGGTAATAATGATAATAACAATAATAGTAATAATAATTTTGATAGTAATGATAGTAATAATAATGGCTATAATATTTATAATAATAGCTTTGGTTATAATAATAATAACAATAACAAAAACAATTGTAATAATAATGAGAGAAATAATAGTAACTATGATAACAATAAAAACAATATTCAGCTAAACTGTTAATAGAATCAAGATTATTACTCTGAAGACATTGTTGTTCATATTCCGACAGGTTATCGAAATTAAAATTCATTTTATCTGTGAATCTAACTTACTAAGTAATGCAATTCATTGAAAGAAAAATAATATTACAATTTAGGTAGGTACCAGTAATTATATATTATATTTAAAATCGCTGTACTTAAAACGGTATTTATCGATAAAAATGTCAAAGTTGGATTTTTAGTCTATTAAGAATGGAGACGGGTAAAAATGGTTAGGTTTTAATTACGGACAATCTCGTGGGTAATATTATTATGTATTATTAACGGTTGAACCAATCCGGCAAAGAACTCTAATACTCTATAATAGAGCCGTCAAAATTATTATAATTTATTGCCTCAAACAGCATCAACGGCTCACATGTAGAGCAGTGTTTCCCGTTCAAAAGTTTTAAAATAATTTCCTGGTGTAATTTTCCTGTGATTTCGTCTTGAAAAATCTGTCTAAATAGTGTTGAGTTAATTGTGTGTAGGTACGAAAATAAGACCGACGGCGAACCTGACAAAATATCGTGTATAATGCGTTATTGTTATTCAAATTAAGCTTTGACAATTTATAAAAAAAATTACTATAATATAATATTATCTACCCACGTATGTATACTCAAACGTGTTCTATAAATACTTTATAAGTTTACTGCGAATAAATTTGCAAAATTATCTAATACTACATAACACACACAGCACGCTGTCTAGCTATTTCACATTTCACACATTCATTTTTTTATAATGTTTTATATTTTTTTTTGTACCTTTGGCAAAATATACATTTAGATATAATTATATAACCATATTATAATAACATTTTGAACCATAAAATAGTTGTACTATTGTTTTGTACTGTAATTATTATTTTTGTACTTAACTTTAATCAATAAATTTAATCTCCTACCACCTTTCTAATTGAATAACGGGACATAAATTGGTTATAGACGCGTGTTCATAAGTTAAACATATTTATTTCGTGATTAAACATTAGTGGGAATGCTGCTATACTTGATGAATGATGATTCATATAAATTTTTTTTTCAAAGTGTTTTTTGAAATTGTTTTGAAAATACATGAGGATTCCGTAAATGGGTTAGTTATTTGATTATTTTATAGTTTGACCCAATTTCCATTTATAGGAACTGAGACTAAGACTGAGACCATATGCAATTTCTTTTTAAAAAGAATTAAATAGTGGTCACCTCTAGTAAATAAAAATCATTGTATGAATTTTTAGGGGAGGAATTATTTTCTGAAAAGCTGAGAGTTCGAGACTATTGAATTAATTTTGAAATTTCAGAAAAGCTTCATAATATTATGTTTATATTTTATTTCATGATGTTTGAATGCGGTTTGAATAATGTTATTTGTTTGTGGTATATTTGAATGTGTGACTTCAATTATTTTAACGATGAAATCTGAAATGTCGTCTGTAACAATTAATAATATAGTTTCTCATCGTTATATTTTTCGAAATAACCAATGAATTTTCTATATTTTTCAAATTATAAATATTTTATTAATATTTGTGATCACATTTTTTGATGTTAAATCTCGAGATATAGTGTAATTATATTACGTTGGACTAGTATGAGAAGTTTGTCAATTGGTTTATTTGTCTACAACAATTATTAACAAAATCAAACTCTGAAATAAGATAGTGTCTACGGAAAGTATTTATAATAATGTAGGTACAACCTGTTGATACTGTTTGCATGAAAATTTCGAGTAAAATCTCAAAAGTTACCTACCTAATTGTATACTGATAAAAGGTAAAATAAATATAATATAGAAGATTCTCATTCAAAACCTAAATTACGTTATTCACAATCTGTTTCAAGATTACGTTGATCAAGAGTTAAAACATTTTCTTAGTAAATGTTTAAACAATTTTGGATTTGTATTATAAAAAAATATATTAGATAGTACATTTACTATCTATTACGAAACGTGCATTGTGGTTTTAGAGGGTTTTATAAGTTAATATGTTATTGTGATTTTATTTTTGTGATTGTTATATAATTTAAGGAGATTCATATTAAATCGGATTTTTAATACCACTATTCATCATCATCATCAAAAAAAAAAAACTTAGTATACTTACAATTAATTACTATAATAATTTTATAGTTAAAAAATTGACAAGCTTTTTGTGTAATTTAATTTTAACAATAATATTATATCTAAATACATAATTTGCACTTTAATGTAGGTACACTTCGTCCAGTATTGATTGTTTGCAGCTTTTATGAATAATAATAATATGATATCCTATTAGTGTTCTTGTATCTCCTCAAGTAAAAAATCACATTTCGTTTGATCACACTATTATGTGTCTCCGGTAAATTAGCTTCTCTCATTGCTATTTTTATTATGTTTACACCGTCCCTGACTTTAAAAACTACGAATCTAATGCTTTGTAAATGTCGCATGATTGCAAGTGGAATTTTCGGAGTAGGTGCCATTATGAATATCTTCAGCGGTGTCTGTAGATTTGAAGTCTGAATCCTATCGTAATTATTTCACTTATTTTAAATCTAATAATTTCTATTTTTTAAATAATAAATAAGTAATATAATATATTTCTTATACTTTAAACTATGAATAATTTTTGAACACTTAGTAGGTACTAAAGGGATGATATTTGATTAATTTTATCTGTTGACCAATATCGTAGTTATTATAATAATTAGGTAGGTACTTAAATATTTGAAAGTTTTGAATTATCATTCAAAGTTGAATATTTCTAGGAATTTTCATACCGTAGATAACTGTTATTTGTTATTCTAATTTAAAAAATGTGGGTTTTAAGCAAATCCCTATAGCATTTAATTGTTTATAGCTATATTATTTAAATATAATCAAATTGTTTATATAGTATAGCCGTATAGGTAATAATTATACATACATTATAATAATAATTATGGATATGATTTATTTAATTTAAAAAAAAAAAATGAGTAAGTATGCTCAAATTCCATTGACTTATTAACTTGTAAGTTTGTAACTTGTTCATAGGTCCATGTCAAATACTGTCTCCTATATACCTATTGATTTCGTACATAAAATATCAAAATTTTCTTATAGGCTTATGACAATAAAACATTTAAAAATATTAGGTTATTAGCTCGTAATATTGTCAAACCGGTATTTTTTGATTTTGTTTTCGCTTAATATTATTATGGCAACAAGTGCTTAATGTAATTTTATTTTTTAATAAGTAAGTGATCAATATTACATAAATAATTTGTAATTTTTCAGGAAAACACTTTAAACAGATGGGTTGACATCAGAGCCCCCGAACCCGGACGAATGCAAGCGAATGCTACCGAACGAACCAATTATATTATGTAAACGGTCTAGCCAAACACGAACAAATGCAAGCGAATGCTACTGAGTGAACCGATGTAAACGGAAAAATGCATTCGGTTGCCTTCGCTCCAAAGACGGTCTGATCAAAGCGTTCCTTTGCGATCGAATTCGTCCGGTAGCATTCATTTGCATTCTTCCATGTTCGGCATCTATAATGTATAAGCCCACCTTCGGGATGTCGTAAAAATGCCAAACAACTTCACAGTGTACATAATATTATTTTATTTATATTTATTTTAAGCACCCAATTTGTCTGCAGGTGCAATAAGAGTTTGTGTGAAATACATATTTTATAAAAGAGATTATTATTTGCGCCGTTTAAAACTAGTTTGAGAATGTTTTTGGAATATAAATATTCTGTTATAATGTTTAGTTAAATAAATTATCAAATAAAGTATTATAGTCTTAGTTTTTGTAAACTTTAATCTACCTAGTAGGTATTATAGTTTTATCTTACTTATTATTGATTTGGGATTAAAGGTTTATTTATTTTCATACATTAATGCAAATTCATGAATATGATTTTTAACTACCTACTTATTAAAACAAAGATATTAGTCAACAGTTCTATGCCATTTTGTATTATAATACTTCTAAGTCATAATATAATAAACAGTTTTCCTCACTAATGGTTAGTTACACAAACTTATGTGTTATAACCACGATTAAAGAGATATCATTGATGGTACTGATCAATCAATGTTTTTTTTAAATAGTAATTTTTAATTTTAACTAAAACAATTTTAAGTATGGTTATTTGTGTTTTGTTAAACCTAAAATTATTTCATATAACATGACGGATACTGCCTTCAATAAAAAAGTGGAAAATGTTTTATTTGTGATTCTTCACAAAAAAACATAAATAATATTCAACGAGTTAAAAATAAATAAATTCATCATTAATCATTGAGGTTTGGATTGTCCACACTTCACGCATCGATACGGTTCTTTGAATGTTTGTTGTACATTTCATATCATTTGGAATACAAGACATTTCAAGTATATAAGACTGTTATAATTTACAAAATTCGTTCAATCAATTATTGTATTAAAGTATTAAACATTAAAAGTTACATTTTGTTTAGAAAACCAGCACATAACTTATAGTTTTGCCCAAAGACAAAAAAGTATTCAAGGATGTTTTTGTACAGAAATAGGTTCATTTATTGATGTTGTGTTACAAAGTAAAAATTAACTGATATTAGTTTGGTAAAATTATGGATTAATATACTGGATACGCCACGATGCATCTTATCAATACTCTTTTTGAGTTCACCCGCTTCTCACTTTGCGGCAAGACAACTACCTCGGAAAAAATCGATGGTGTGCTTGCGCTATATGAAGCAAACTTGGAAGTAGAAGAGCAAACCATGAAATCCGAGAAATTACGCAATACCATAAGGTTATCAATTAGGTATATAAACGATCAACGATTACAATGGTTCAGTAACATAATGAGGACAGATGAAACAAAGGCTGTGAGGGCAGTCTAGAATACCAACCAAATATTAAAGATATTGATACTTATTATAGTCAAGATTTTTATAAGTATTCAAAGTTCACATATTTTGATCAAAATTTATTAAAATCATAAAAATTTGCAAATGGATTTTGTAGTTAATATTGAATAATGTTTTCAATTTTATAGCGAATTATTGCAATTTTAAAATATTGTTTCCGATACATAGTTCATACTGTAACCAAAAAATCTAAAAATATATAAACTCTACTATGTTAGTAGAAAACACTAAGCCAAAGTAATTTTTTTTTTTAGTTAAGCTATTCAATAAATATTAAATATTATTATTATTAAATTTAATCGTTTGTCAATGCCCACATCGTATATATTATATAACTATGTATAAATATAATTAAATGTCTAGATATTAATTTTGAAAATTGTTGGGAATTATCTAGATAAGGTTTTTTGAAATAAATTATCTTTTAAAGTATTTAGATAATTATGTTGTATCTAATGTTTAGCTTAGATAAAAATGAACTTATCTAGATAAATATTATAGTGCCCCTACAAAATTATAAAACTAATGTTACTAAAATTCTGATATTATTCTATATTGTTTCTAAAATTATTTATAAAATTAGAAGAATATATTTCTTGTTATTATTGCCAACGACGGTATTACGATAATACGAGAACCTGCCTGCGGGCATGCACTGGACATCGTTCTCTACTAGCTATAATGAGCAAATTAAAATTAATTAAGTATAGGTTTATTTGCCCATCCATTTTAAAATAAATAAAAAAACAATAAAATAAGTGTAAAAAAATGATATTTATCTAGATAAATGTATTGTTTTATTTATCTTTATCTAGATAAATTACATTTATGTTATCTTTATTTTTATCTAGATAAAATTTTGTTAAAATTATCTTATCTTATCTAGATAATTTTTTAGTTGTCTATTCCCAACACTGATTTTCAAGTTATAATTATAAAATATTTACATAGGTAATCACGTAAGAAATTAATTAGTGAGTACTTTCGCCCCAAATCCATCGTTCCATTTTACCCCAATATGTTTTTCTGAATAAACAGTATTGTAGTTTATTCAGTTGTCATTATGTCAATATTTTACTGGTATTGACGTGCAGTCATTTATTTGTGCTAAGTGAAAGTAAATGAAAGCAACACCTGACGTATTTTTAACTAATATATATATTACTTTTATAATACTCATAATTAATGAGATATAATTATCAAACGAACAATATGTGTTATATCTCATATTGCAGCAAAACTTCATTAAATGTCAAGAAAATGTTTTATCACATTCGGCTATGATAATAAAATCATAATAACAAAAAAGTTTGACCAGATGGTAAATATTGAATACCATCATACCCCAGGTTATTCTAAGTGCACATTGTACAATGAAGTACTTCCTCATGGAGCTGATCTTAAACAATTCACCATTCTTCCTATTGGTAAATTTTTTTGAAAAATAATAGGTACTGAAATTTAGTTCTATCATATTTATTTGTTGTAATTCGACTTTTAGAAGAATCCTAAGTAGTCAGAAATATGGGCTATAGAATAACAACATTCAGGAAATAATAATAGTTCAAATAGGTTTATTAGTATTTCTTCATTAGAAGAATTAATACACATACTACGTGTATAATCAGATCCATACAAATCGTCTATAAGACAACCATCAAATAACTGTCATCTCACGTTCAGAAATGATTTACAAGAGCTATTTGTGCAAGTGGATGATAAATTTAAACATATTGTCCTTACTTTCTTAACTATGAAACCTTTGTTAAAATGATAAAGAAATTCTCATAGAAACACATGCCAAAAGGATGTCGAACAACTTTCATCTCAATCACTACAACCCAGATTACAAGATTACGAAGGCACGTTTTCGCCAAAGTTTTAAAGGTAGGAGATATTATACCGTTACATGAAATTGTCGAGGAGATAAAAAATAAGTGGAAAACAAAGTGGAAGAGTTAGATACGAAATCAAATAGCAATAAAGCATGGTGTCTTATCTTAAAACCCAACAGTGAAAAATGTAATGAACCAATACATGCAACTTGACTGTAAAGTGAGGTGGCCAACTGCTCTTCCTAAACTCAAAAACTGGAAGGTTCGAAACAAAAAGCACGAGATTAGCCTTTTTGATGTTCATTTCACAATCGAAGAACTAAAAACTGGCATAAAAATCATGAAAAAAGGAAAGCAGCAGGAGTCGACAATATTTGAACAAAGCAAATAAAAAACATAGGACCCCATCCTGAAAATAGCTCAAGTATGTATAATTAATGTATTGAACAAATTCGAATTCCCAAAATGTGGAGCAGGAAAGAGTTGCACGAACCAGGTATTAAGCCTGACACAGCACATAGAGGTCGGTTTTGTAAACAAATTCACAGCTTTTATTTTTAGATCTGAGTGCAGCCTTTGACACATTAAACTTTGGGAAACTGAAGCGAAAAGTTTACGAACTAACTCTAGATATAAAATGTACCATAATTTTTGAAATGCTCTTACATAAAAGACGTTTCTATGTCAGTCTGAAAGGTAAAAATAGTAGATGGTGAGACCAACGCAGTGGTTTACCACAGGGTAGGGTATTAGCACCAACTCTTTTTAATATTTACACAAATGACCAGATACAACCTCGATACAAAACATTTGTATGAAGATGACCTAGCGATCTCCTCAAAAAACACTTGTTTAATATGTAGAAAAAGCTCTGAAAGATATCCATCTACTACAAGGAACACCACTTAAACCCAAATCCTAATACAACGCACACGTGTTCTTTGTTGACTTGAGAAATAGAGATTCAAACAGAGAACTAAAAACTCAATGAGAAGATTTGTATCTATAACACACAAAATTCCCAAAGTACTTAGATGTAATGCTGGACATATATAACTAACTTTAAAAAAACTCGGTGAGAATACCCTAGCCAGTATCAGGAACAATATATTACGGAAACTTGTAATCTTCAAAAGGTTAGCAGATCAAAACATCTTGAGATCTCAGCAATAGCACTAAGCTACTCACAATACACATGACCAATTTGTAAAACATCGGCACATAGGCATATGTGAAAAACATTGATATAGCTCTTAACGTGTCCTTTATAATAATAACAAGATGCATCAGAGTATCAGACCAATAGAGGTACATAAACTTCACACCCTAAGCGGCATAGCAAACTCAAATATACACAGGACCACGTTAACTGAAATCGAAAGGTACAAATAAAATCAAGATTCAAGGCACCCATTATACGGGTAGTAGCTACGGCAAAGTGCCTCAAATTGAGATAGAGTTTCATGCACATTACTAAAGAAGATTGACGGTTTACAAAACAAGAGATACAGAATAGGTGGAAAGAAATAAATACGTTACGAGTTAATGAACCTATAAGGACAAGAGAGATAGAAAGCCTACTACCAGGACAAAATTTGAAATATGAGACATTGAAAATACTCAATCGGCTGAGAACACTGAACTAAATATACGGAATAGGCATTGGGTCTGAAAAAATGGCCCTCCTTAGTAGACTGACATTTTGAGTCTTAACATGGAATAAACAATAAAACTTATCTGGGCGATATGCGATAATGTTTGTTATCATAAGATATTGAAGATACCACCCACGGTTAAAAAATATTAAGAATGTATACAACCAGCATATCACTGGTTTTTGGTGGAAGATGAGCTGCTAAAATAGTTCCATCTATGAAAAATCAAGGAATATAATACATACAGACTCCAAATGGCAGCCTCTATAGGTAGGACACTTTTTGTATTAGACTCTATACACAATACGAGTTCCATGTATTCAGTTCAGTAGCTGAGAGCAGGGGTGGCCAGAATCAATAAAAATGATTCTTCCACCTATGTGAATGTGAAAGAGTCCAGGAAGAAACATACTTATTAAAATTCCCAATTATGGAGAATCAATGTGAATGGACGGATTTTTTCTCAATAAATGTATTATTATAGCTACAGATGTATAGCTAAAACTTGAAAATATAATACAAGATTCCTTATGAGAAGTTCTTACAGAACTTTTAAAAAATCCACACTCACATATTGATGTGTTGACATGTTGATGAGAATGAATATTTAAATAGAAAATAACGATTTTATGATCCTAAATCTGAGTACCTACCAATTACTTCTATAACAATTCCTCTGGAATTATAAAAAAAGTCATACCACCAGATCAGTGGTACTAATATACCAACCTCGCAATAACCGATGAATGTAACGCCAAGCCGAACTTAATAAAAGCACGAGATCGAAATCGTTTGTGGCTTACTTGAACGTAAATCGATGACTGATTGCTAGACAATCAAACGCAGCTTTCATGTGTTCATAATATCGATTTAGACCTTTAGACTTTCATAAAATTACACAATACTGAACCATATCTGAGTGTGTGAGTGACCAAGCCCTATATCCTTTAATGGCTTTTTGAAAATTACAACTTTAACTTTCTGTCACTCATCATTGTATCTGCAACATGCAGAGGATTGCGTAACACCTGTTATGCTATTGCATATTTTCTGCGATATATATAGGTGACTAAGCACCGGGCATAGGCCATAAACCGTTACAAGCCCGTTAAATAACCAATTTCCACGGACCATGAGAGCTTTCTAGATACTAAAACTAGACTTTTAAACATTCCCACCTTTGAATCGATATCACTAAAAAGGCCAAGGCTTATGAAAAATCCTTATACCTAATCCTTATGATCAATCCACATCACAAGTCCTTATCACCTTCTCAAATTTTTGAGTTTTAACCGACCACCAACGTGTGACGTGACAGACAAGTCAAATATAATTTTAGCGACATTGTCTCCAAAATCGGTACCTAGTCTCAGTGAGTTACACCAACAGATAGTTATATAATAAAATATAATTAGTACCTGATAGATTATAGGCTAACAATCAAATCCTCTCAGAATCGTTTTCCGTATACAACGATATAAAT